GAGAGCTAAACAAGATCTCTTCGACTGCAGAGAGCAGGTGGGGTTTGTATATTGCATGAATATGGAAGATGAAATTGCAATTCCGAGTCTTGCATGAAGAGCCCCAGGAAGTCGATAGAAAAGCATTACACCACGAGCAACAACATATCTACTGACCTCGCTCCTGCTAGTGGCAGAGATACAGTTTCAATAAAGACAAGGAATATTGAAAATATCACAGTTACAGTGAACGTGACATGATATAAACTCTAATGGAAAGTGTGAATTTCAAATCGTAGGCTAAAAATATAGCTGAATTGTTTGCGTACAGCTATTTTGGCAAAAAAAAATGACATTTGCGTAAAAATCATTTTGAATTTCCACAGCAGTGAATAACTAGCTGAGGCTGTGATCCTCTCTCCGGCATGGAGGGTCTTACGCGCTATGTCTTATGCAACACAAAATTCTACGAACACAAACCGGTGTGTCTGATCCAGTCACAGAATCAAGGAATTCCGAAAATCTCTGCTATCGCATTTACTGCAATTTTACAAAAATAAAATGAAAATACCTTCTGATTCTCTTATTGAAAATTCACATTCCGCATATCACCATATAGTTATTGTTTTATTTGCGTGTGACGTTCGTGTTCGTGTACACTTAACCTGCTAATTAAAAACACAATAAAATAATTACTTTCCTACTGACACGCGATACAATGCGGAACAGGTACAGTGTTAGCATTCACTTCCTCTGCATTGCTGTTAGCGCAGTCCTAGCAAACCCCACTAAAGACATAGAAATATTTAGTGACGCAATGAGGGCGATTTATAGAACAAGAAGCAAATATACAAAACGCTTTAAAGCACAGTAAATGGAATTATACATGAAATTAAGTACGATTTCTTCATCAGGATTGATTTTATTAGTCGGTCCCAGCGATGGTTCCTTTGACTAAGTAATAATAAACAGTAAATGGCCCCAGAGTAGTTTCATGATACAAGCTAATCACAGATCTTTGCAATGTGTCAGCTTGTATTGCACTTGGCTGCTATCTGCTTGTACTTTCAGTTGACCAGAATTTACAGACCGTTTGTTGAACATTCTGTTTAATATGAGGATTTGGTTATGTATTTATATCCCTCCATTCCAGATTCCATCCCTCGGTCCAGTTGCATCTGGACAGGTTTAAATCCGGATTAGAGTCAGTCTAATTGCCAGTAATGAATAAAATAATTCAGAGATTGCATTTCAAAATCCACACGTTAATAAGTCTGGAGAATAATGTGTGTATTTTCCAGCTGAATGTCCCCATATAGCAGAAGGTTTTATTTATAATATCTGGATTGGGGGCATTTGGACTTTTTTTCCATATCTGATTCTCATTCTATATTGTGGTGGCTCACTTCGAGCTCCTGTGTTATAGCATATTCTTGGATATGATACATGAATTATTTATCTCAGCCGAAACCTGAGCAGTTTAACGTGATTTTACAAAGCAGAGATTTCATTGTGAAATGTAATGGGGCCACGGGAGATTTCATGTTCATCTCGCACAAAAGACAAGGAAAATGAAAGTGTTCAGAACATTTTGAAATCAGTGTCGCTCTAATCCGATCATACAATCCGAAAGAAGAGCGGTGGGGACATTATAAACAAATATAACACAGATCCAAAGCTGCGGGAAAACGATTGACAAGACCCCAAATATTTATAAAGAACAAATTGCATTTAGCAGTAATAAACACAGATAACATAGTCAGTAAGGAAATTCCATACACTATAAAATGGATCACAAATAAAAATTATGATCTAATTCATACGTGAATGCTTCATTTTTTTGCCTTTAATTTCCTGCCAAGTTTAGTCCTGATGCAAATCACTAGGGAACCATTCACTAAATGTGTGACGTGAAATGAGTGTTAATTGGTCAGATTTGCTTTTAAAGGAAATACTTAGAAATAATTAAAATAGAGCAATTCACGGCTCCATTTACACAGTCCGATGTAATAAAAAGTTGGCTTGTAGACGTCCGAGTATACTGTCCATTCTACAATCTGTCTCCGACGTTAATAATTTATCAAACCACTCTCCCCATGTAATATCTATGGAATCAATAAATCCATCCATCTCTTCCGTAATCAAGAGAGGATTCATAAAACAAAAACAAAAAAAAACCACAATAACCACCCAGTGGTATTAACCCCATGCACTGCCGACTTTAAGAGGATGGTTTGGCTTTGGTCTGGTAATTGCTGTAAAGCCAGACACGGTCACTGTCAGACGGGAGCTGAGTGAGCTGGAAGGCTGCGCTTCAAGACCGGTTTCAAGCCTTAATCTGATAGGAAATTGATCGCTGTTAGAAGCAGGAGTTGAGAGAGGTGTCAAGCGTGTCAGTGATGATCTGTAAGGACAAACGCTGTGTGGCACAGATATACATCTAACGGCTTATTACTCCGAGCAAATTAAATAACCAGTAGCGGTCCTGAGGCAACTGATTGACCCGCAGCGGCAACATAAAAAAACACTAACAAAAAAAATTTCAATTCTTCAATGTTTTCATATTTCATTTCAATAAGTAAATCTTGTTTTCAGTACACAAAACACTCAGGTGTTTATTAAAAAAAACACAAAAGCATTGGGATACAAACCTGCATTGCTTACGCTTTAGTATCTCGTCCCTAGATAGCTAGGTCCCCCCTCCTTTCCCCCGTGTGCAAACATAATAATAATAATAAAATAAAAATGTTTTACTCATTGCTCTTTGCTGCTTACCTCTCTGCCTCCCGCGATGTCATGGAGGAGCTCACCAGCCAATTGAAATGTTGGGCCAGAAAATCCCAGCTGGATACTGAGCTGAACATGTTATAAACTATTACGTTACAAAATGATTCCAGAGCAAATTCCAGAGCCTAACAAGTATTACTCGTCATAATAAAATATTATAAACCCCCACCCAGCTCGGCGTTAATAGTAACACCCAAATGTGGGACATTTAGGGAAAGCTGTGAATTTGGGGCCATGGTAGCTAGACTGAGATAAATAACGGATTGTGTTCCCAGAGAGGCTTTCAAAGGGTGACAAAGTCAATCTGAGGGCTAATCAAGCTGAGAGGAATATCTGCAGACTAAGTTGATGGGACTGTCAAAAGCAGAGCGGCGTTTGTGATGGGGTTAATGTGCAGAGTAAGACGTAGTACATGTAATTACAAACTCGTTAACGATCCACATCCTTCGCGGCTAATAAACTCAGAGACCCCAATGCAGGAACTGATTGACTAAACACCAAACAGTAATGAAAAGGAAACAGAACTGTATAAATTGGGCTGTAGACCCAGCTTGGGTATTCTTGTCTAAATTTCACAATTCACTACAGTTTAATGTTATGCAAATCCAGATTCACAGAGAGCAGGACTGCTTCGCCATCACTCACAGCCATTAAACAAACCCACAGAGTTAGAGCAATTTACTGATGTAAAGCTGGGATGCTGGGGGCAGTAAACAGCGAGTCACCCCGTCCAACACTCCAGCTCTATATCACCCAAGACACGAACCTACATGCCACTGCCAAAACAGCACTCCCTGCGCCAAAAGTGACCGGTTCAGAGAAAACAACAATAATCACAATAATAAAAATAGCTAGAAACGGTGCCAAGGCCTGACTACAATGCCGGACGCCTTCTGTGTATGCTCCGGCATATCACAAATGTTATGGCAGTATTTTTATAGATTATTTCTCCACCAGTGATCTCAGGTACCTTTAAATGACTCATAGTACAATCGGGGCTATATATCTGCGAGGCTTCTGCTTCCTTTCAGCGGTCACACTGTTGAAGAGATGCTAGTTTGCTTTGAGGCCTGGTGCATCCAGAGGCGTATAGAAGCAGCCGATCTCTGCTCCCAATGTGAGCTGCTGATTAGGCCCCCCCTTTGCACCGGAGGGTGTGATCCTGGTCTACACTTTGGAGGCTCGCCCGCTATACTGAGAACGCGCAGCACTATCGCTAGAAATGGGTAAAAGCTACAGCGTCACATAACATGGCAGACGCCGTGTGCTCCTGCGGAGAGAATTCTTATATATTATCGAAACTGAACAGGCTTTTCAGGCCTTTTTGGTGAAGCTGACTGCCCGAATATGACTCGCGGATCCGGATGACCTGACCAATAACTTAGCTCAGAGTCCACCGTCTAAGTTAAATGGAGGGCCGTGGATCTATTTCCTGAACAAGCTCAACCAGAGCGATGGCTACGAACAAGGTCGATATTAGAGACAACTGTGTGCAGTCCCTCAAAGTGCAGAAGTACTCTGAGATAAGGCTTTGATGCTCACTGGGACCGGGGGACTCTGCCAACATCAACAGGCATACACTACTCTATAACAAGATCCTGTGCCTACTTACCCATAGTATTATGCCCAACACGGACGTTTCCATTGCAGGACTTAGCTTGAGCCCCTACAAGGCCTCGGTTGATCTGAGCTCTGGCATCAAGCCTCATCATTACCTGTTGAACACCTGTTTTATTTTACTGCTACACTTTTATTTTGGAGCAGATCTCACGCCCCTCTTACGGTTCACTGTTCTCCTGATTTTAGGTACTCGCTTTCTGATTATATAAGTAGCATCCTAGGGGTGTTTCACCCTCTGTCCTGCCGTTAGTCCTCTAAATATATAAACTGTTCAATAATCTCTTCATCACCATATTTATTTTCACATGACCTACTGCCTAATGTATAAATACTTATCAGGAAACACACAAAAATACAAACAACATAGTGTGAACCGTAAACATTTATATATATGGTGAAGGAATGGGGTTGGAGTATTCTGTCACCATATATATATCTTCAATTCCTTCACCATATAAAAATCTTCAATTCCTTCACCATATATAAATCTTCAATTCCTTCACCATATATATATATATATATATACACAAAAACAGAACAAATTCCTGCACTCCAACCAAACGGAAAAAAATGATACCTGGTGCTCTGGTCGCTATAGTTACATAACCCCCAAAAATACCGGCACTCTAGGAGTTTCCAATCTTAAATTTTCTTTTATTCCAAAAATGACGTTAACGTTTCAGCTCCCCGTGGAGCTTTCATCAGAGCTAAAACGTTGACGTCGTTTTTGGAATAAAAGAAAATTTAAGATTGGAAACTCCTAGAGTGCCGGTATTTTTTGGGGGTATATATATATATATATATATATCTTCAATTCCTACACAGGGCCGGCGTTACCTGTAAGGCGGACTAGGCAGCCGCCTAGGGCGCCCCTTGGGAGGGGGCGCCGCCAGGAGCGCCGGCCCCCCCCATGCTGCAGCCGCCCGAGTGCTCTGTAAAGAGCCTCGGGCGGCTGCAGCTTTTCCCGGGCGGTGCGTCCATGAGGGCGGACCGCACCGCCCGGGCGCAGCCTGA